GCCTGGAGCACCTCCTGCCCCTCCTTCTGCACTGACCTCAGTGTCTACCTTGTTGTTCCCATGTTCTCACTCTGCTCTTCCCTGTCTGGAATTCTTCCTGTGCAACAACCTTGTGTTCTTAAATACATTATCACAGAGGCATTACTATTGCTCCTAATTGGCTTGGCCTTGGCCAGTGGCAGGAAGTCCGTCCTGGAGCCAGCTGGCTTTGGCTCCACCAGACAGGGGAAGCTTCTAGCAGCTTTTAACAGAAGCCACCCCTGTAGCCCCAACTTGCTACCAAAACCCAGCCACAGAAATCCACTACATTTAGTTATAAGAACTATTAGAAAAATAAAATACTCTGCATATCCCCAGTGCAGGCTCAGAAGTGTGCCTGAATCCCACATAATGCCATGTGATCCACACTATGGCCAAGGACACTCCAGCTTAGCCCAGTGTCTGAACTGAGACAAAGAGCAGGTTTATTATTTTATTCTTTGTACTTATTATTTTCCGAGTTTGTTGCTTGATGGAGCAGCCTGGACATGTTTCTCCCTGCAGACAGAGGTCCCTTACACCATGTGCTGCAGTTGGACCTGAGCACTCCTTGCTTGTGGCACATACCAAAGAGGAATGGGACCTCCTGAACCTGCACATCCTTCAACACACACACTTTCTGCCATTGCTCCCTTGGCTCACTGTTCAGGGAGAGCAAACTCCATCCCGCCTGCACCCCTGGGCACAATCATCGCTCCCACAGAGAGACCTGGGGTGGCTGGTACAGGAATGAGCCACCACTGCTCAGCTTTACCTTCCTGGCACTGTCAGAGTCAATTGTTCTCATCACAAAGCCATCTGGCAGACTCAAAACCCCTGTTAAGGAAACAGTGATCTGAGGTCAGGAATAGTTCCAGCTCAGGCACGACTTGGGGCACAGAGCACACACCAACCAGGGCATCAGCTGTGTGTTGCATTTAAACTGCAGTTTTGGCTCTGGCCAGCTAAGCTAGTGCTTTTATCCAAACTAGGACTCACGTATGTCTAGATCTTGACTTGGAATGTAAGAAAAGTTCAGTGAGTTTATCACATCCATTGTGCTCTTTTTCTTACTTAAAAAAACCCAAATACGAAAGCAACCACTGAGCAGCTTTGGTAGCTTCTCCTGTTCTCTGAACATGACACAGCTGGTCTCACCCTAATTGAAATCCCCATCATATGAAATAACACAGACGCAATATTTGTTTTGCTAAAACCAGGCTGAGCTCACCATCTTTTTGCTCCCTACTGCGAGTTATGGCCACAAACCATTTTGGAAAGCAGTTTGTTGAAGGTGTCACCTATAACACTGAGGGCAGGCCTGAGCAAATGTCTGCACAGGTTCTCTTACTGAGAGTCTTCCAGTAGCAACTCACTGCACAGAAAGTAAAGGTCACTTGTTCCATCAGACACTATCCACTGTGGTTTTCCCTCCCACAGAGCCTCTGATTTTTAGAGCACTGCCTGTTTTTGGAAATGCAGCAAAGCTGAGGTAGGTGGAAACAGATCAATGAGGGCAAAGAAGCAGCAACAGCGATGGACTCTGAGTGAGGCTCCTCAAGCTGCTCTGCAGTTCAAGTCTGTCCTTGTGACTGATGATCACATCCCATCACACCTGAGCCTCAGGACCTGCAGGCAGTGTCACCAGGCAGCACAAACTCGGGGCAGTGTCATCCGGCAGCCTGTGTGACCCAGTACACCATCAAGCTGTTCTGTAAGTGCCTTGATCCACCATGTTTCTGGACAGCATGAACTACAAGAGCCTTGGTGTCACATAAATGAGGACAGTCTGGTCATGAATGAATGCCCCATGAATGCCCTGATGACACAACTGGCCCCAGCAGTGACCAGGGGACCAGGGGCTTTGCTGCCCATATCAACAAGGATAGTGTCTGTGCAGGAGACACGATTCTGACATTTGCGACCAATAAAGCTGCCACAGCAATTCTAAAGCCAGAAACTGTTACAAATGACAAGCTTGATAATTGAACTTAATCAAACAATATTAACTGTTAGAATGAACAAGAGAAATTAGGCACATTTTCTTTCCTCAATTTTCTTTACATGTTGGAGGGAAAAAGAATGTTTCACGTCATACCAAGTGCTAAATCACATTCAGCTCCAAGCTGAGAACACCTTGGCGTGGAAGTCTGAGGCGGTCCAACCTGACAGGCTGCAGGGACAGGTACCAGGTGGCCTTGGAAGCTCCTGGTGTCCCCCACCGCCCTCAGGATCCCCACAGCAGAGCCACACGCCAGTAAAGTTCTTCTTCCTTCAGAGGGCAACCACATGAACAACCTGCTGTCTCTCCTGGGAATATTTCAAATTTCCTTAGAGACTGATCCTCATCCAATCACCCAAACAGAGTTTCTTATCTCCTTACAGTATTGCACACCATGGCAAGTTAAATCAGGAAAATCTCAGCCCAACAACCTCAGCAGCCACCAGCACCTACTCAGAAAATGACTCACAACAGAGGGTTTGCACCTCAACCTCCTTGGTGACATCAACCCAGTCATGACACAGCACAGCTCCCTTTGCCACTGTGACACAAACCCCAACACTACAGTTTCACCACTGCACCAGACTTTCCTTCTCCGCCGCTTCTCCACCAGATTTAGGGAATAAGAAGCAACATGACTTACAGTTTACTGTGACTTTTACTTTTTTCACATCTGGGACTGAGACATCATTTTCTGCACTGCATTCATATTCCCCCGCCTGGTCTCTTGTAATTCCATAGATGTCCAAGTACTGCCCGCTCTCGAAGGGCTTAGCTGAAATGAAACAATAACAGAAAGAAATTACTGGAAGCTTCAACACCTGACCAGCATTTGGAGGATTTAACACACATCCAAGGCGAGCCAGGAGCTGCTGCAGCTTTCACCCAGAAACCCCACTCTGAGGTGAGCTGAAAACCCCCTCAAGCTCCTGGAGCTGAGCAAAGGTTCTCTCCTGCCCCAACCCCACAGTGATGCTCAGACACATTCAGATACATGAGTAATTTGCACCTGATGGGCTTCACAGAATAGAGAAGTTGTAGCTGCCCCACCCCAGGAAGTGTCCAAGACCAGGCTGGACAGCGCTTGGAGCAACCTGGTCTAGTGGAAGGTGTCCCTGCCCATGGGAGGTTATAAAATTAGGTGTACTTTAAATCCCTTCCAACTCAAAGCAATCTGGTATTCCTGCCTTAAAAGCTTCAGCATCCATTAGGGCTGATGGTTTGCACTTGGGCAGAGCCCAGCCTCTGAAGAGACCATGAGCAATTCCTGGAGCAGCTGATCTGTTGCAGCATCCACTGCCCATCCCAGCTGCCTTCGCTGGTCAGGGACCATTCGTCCTTGCTATATCAACCAGCAGAGCATGAAGCTGGATGGTGAACCCCCACGGCTGCCAGAGCCAGGCATGTCCTGGAGGGAACCAGCTGATCACCTGTGATGGGGGTCAATGGGTGCAAAATGGGTCATCACCCTTCCTACCACCAAAGAAAAAGCTCTTCCAGGCTTGCTCACCACCCATTCAGTGCTTACATGTTGTGCCCTAATAAAAATTTCATCATATTAGTCAAAAATTGCTGAAGAGTTCTCCTTTCCCAAAGGAGCCAAACCCAGGAAAGGGGATCCTCAGTGTTTGCCTTGTTACACAGAAATAAGGACAGTCTGAGTGAGCAATTCTGAGCACAGGCCAAAGTCTGTCTGCTGGGAAACAACAGGAAATCAAAGAGAATGTTTGTGTCCATAAAACCTCAGTGCCCTGTAATGCACACACAGATTGTTTCAGAGACCAGTGATAATGACACCATTCAAGAGCTCCTTTAACTCCACTTGACAGAGCAGATATAGGCATTTCTGGAGCTCCCGAAATCCCAGTAACTGCTAGGGCTTCCCTGCTGTGGTTTCCACCTTGCAGGGAGTGCTCTGATATCCCTCAGATGAAAACTGCTCCTTGCTTCCAAGTTCATCTCTCCATGTCTTTTAAGCAGAGCTCCCCACGTGATGGCCAAGTAATTGGTTTAGATTCCTCACAAAGCACCCACCACATAATAAACAAAAAAGTGTTAAATATAATTATTATTTTAACACAGTATATCACAACAGCCATGACCACAGATGCTGGAAATTATAGGTCTAAAGGTTTAAAAGACTTGCTGTAAGTGTTTTCCCACCCAGACAAGCCTTTAATTGACTTAATAACTGTGTGGCTTGTGGAGCACTGAAAAAAAACCCAGAGTGGGCAGTGAGGACCAAGCAGGAGCTTGGTTATGTCATGTCCATCATGGTGGTGAATTAATTTGCTTATCTGCTCATGAATTAATGTTTTAAAGTGTGCAAGGTTCAGAACATCAATTATCACATCGTTCAGCACGGCAGCTCATTAACACGCACATGACGATGTGTCTGTCACGGGGAGGAGCCCAAGTGAGCACTGGTGGTGGGAAGTAGAAAGATAAGACTGAAATACGAAAATTAGTGTGGATTGAAGTGAATATTCATAACATGCAGTGAAATAGTTTATGGGACATGAGGAATTGCATAAGGATTTTTAATTGCATGATTTTTTTTTCTCTTCCATGTTCATGGAATAAATGATAAAGAACCCCTTCCCCAAACAAAGCAGGTGTTGCTGTTCCCATGCAGGTGCAGCAAGGTCCCATCCTGCTCTGCTTTGGCCAGGCTGAAGCAATTCCCAGGAAAACTGTATTTCCTCTCGCTTTGAGCAGCAGAGAGGGATGCAAAGTCCCTCCTGCACAGGGGCATTGGCCCACAGAGAGGAAAGACCTTCCAGCAATTCCACTTTGGTTCAAATGCTGTGAAAATTATATAAAATGCAAAATTCTCTCTTGTGTCAGGTTAAAAATAACTAAAAATGATGCAAGTGTAATGCTCTCCAATGCCAGTGCTTCCCTGGATATATGGTAGGCACCAAAACATTGTACAGCATCCCAGAATCACTGAGGTCGGAAAAGCCCTCCCAGACCATTGAGTCCAACCTGTGCCCATTCCCCAACGTGTCATGTGGGAGGCAACTGAGCTGTGGACAGCTTGGGCCCTGAATTTGAGTGGTTGCAGCTGTGAAGGAACGTAAACAACGAAGATGAGAAGGGGGACAGGGAGGACAGAGCTGCGGGGCAGCTGTGATAGCCAGAGAGCCTGGACTGTTTGCTGAGCGACCCTGAGTTGCAGAAGCTACAGAGCAGCCAATCTTAAGATGTGTATGTAGTAAGGGCACCAATGGTGGTGAAACATGCTGGCTAGGGGAGACTATAAATTGTCCATGTTTGTATGAAATAAAGGCTTTTCTGTGTGAAATCCCAGTGTGGTGTCCGTCCCGACAACGACAGTGTCACCCAGCCCAGAGTACTGAGTGCCACGTCCAGTTGTTCCTTGGACACCACCAGGGATGGGGATTCCACCACCTACCTGGGTAGCCCAGTACACTGAACCCTGAGATAAATTTATGATGTATCCCTCGGAGAAAAAGAAACAAAATACATCTCCAACTACTTGGAATTTTATTAAACCTTAATTGTGTTTTGGAGTTGAGGTAAAACCAAATATTCTCTGCTCTAAACTTCTGGTTAAATGTCAACACACCACAGAATGGCCTGATTTGGGAGGGACCTTAAAGATCATCCAGTTCCAATCTCTCCTGCTGTGGGCAGGGACACCTTCCACTAGACCAGGTTTCTCAGAGCTCCATCCAACCTGGCCTTGGACACTTTCAGGGATGGGACAGCCACAGCTTCTCTGGGCAACCTGTGCCAGAGCCTCCCCACTCTCACAGGGAGGAATTCCTCCCCAGTATCCCATCTAACCCTGCCCTCTGGCAGTTTAAAGCATTCCCCCTTGTTCTGCCACTCCAGGCCCTTGTAAGTAGTCTCTCTCCATCTTTCTTGTAGCTCCTTCATGTCCTGGAAGACTGCAATTAGGTCACCCCAATGCCTTCTGTTCTCCAGGCAGAACAATCCCAATTCTCTCAGCCTTCCCTCACAGCAGAGCTGCTCCATCCCTCTGATCATCTTGATACCTCCTCTGGACTCGCTCCAACAGCTCCATGTCCCTCCTGTGCTGGGACCCCAGAGGTGGAGGCAGCTCTGCAAGTGGGGTCCCACCTGAGCAGGGCAGAGGGGCAGAATCCCCTCCCTCCATCTGCCCACCATTTCATTGCTTTAGATTCCTCACAAGCCATTCACCACTTAATAAACCACCATTCCTGTTAGAATGATTCCCAAAAATGCACAAGTCCTTTCCATGACCCTTGTATTTATACAGATCTATGCTGAGCTCTGACTCTCATTTATGCTGCAAATGCTCTTGTATTTTGACAGTGCTGGGTAGATCCGTGATTTTATGCAACTCACACACACATTCCAAAATCTTCAAATTAAGGCATTTTAAACCCTCACGTCCTCTGAAATGTTACATCCAGCTCACATAAGTAAACTCTTAGTAAATACGAGAGATGAACACTCTTAAGGAATACACTGATATCCTGTTTCATTTCCCCCATTCGCCTGCCCTGTGATGCCCCTTCCTCAGCCTGTTCTTAGTTCCAGAGATCTCCCAGGGCTGTGTGGGAGCACGTGGATCATGTGAGAGCACATGCACTGAGCTGTGGGAGGGATCTGTGCATAAGTATATGTATGTGTATTTATGCTGCATCACATGAACATCCAGCTGAGGCAAGGGGATCCATAAGCAGCAGGAGAATAAACTGGATGAAGACATTGGGGAAAGAAGATGAGTTTCAGGAGATATCTCAGTTTTCTCACTGTTTTTTCCTGTGATCTCTTACAGTCCTGAGTAACCAACCCTTGTTCTGCTCTTCTGCAGCCCACAAGCATTTTATAGACTTATCAAGAGATTGGAAATACTTCTGGCTGCCTTTTCTGGCCATCAAGCCAAAATACTCCTCAGGCTTTGTACCTGAGAAAAGGAAATCTGAAGGTTCATTAGCAGCAGTCCCTCAGCCTGAAGTCATGTCAGCCAAGAACTTTGATGAAAGATGAGAAAAAAACATTGGTTGAAGTAAAAGGAACATAAATGTGCGGGTGCCTCACATCCAAGGCCATTCCTGATGGGATTTTCAGAAGATCTCTTAACTAGATTATTGATACACATACAGATACCTAAGTAATCACGTCTGGACAGCACAGGTAAGGAGACTAGGTTCTCCAGGAAGGGAAATGCCTGTGAAACTAAGCTTGAATGTCTATTTTCTGCCAGTGACGTGTGATCTGACGTCTGATAAATCCTTACACTTTTATTCCTCAGGAGAACATACGATTATATCCGTGTTTTCTCACCACACCTGTGGTTTCTGGCACAGGTGCAGCACACACACACACATGGCCATATGGACCCATTCTCACAGCCTTGGATGGAGGAGTTCTGCAAGGGCAGCACTTGCCTCCCTGGTGTTAAACATGAGTCAGTCCAATCAAAAATCTGGTGCAAGTCCAGAGAAGCTCCAAAAATGGCTGAGGACTTCAGCTGAACCAAGGGGGATTTATTTTTATTTTTTCTTTATTCACTAGGATATTATATAACTGCAACATAGTCCCAGTTTATGAACTGTAAAACAGGTGGAACAATTTTGTAAGGAGATAAAAGACAAGAGATGGGAACAGAGAATAATGAAGCTAAAAGTTCCAGGGGCTGGAGTGGGTTCAGAGGCTGGCGTTTGGAGAGCTGTGTGTTCTCCCAGTGTGAGCAATGTAAATCTCAGCCAGTTATCCAGAGCATGGTGTGGAGAAGGTGGAGTTGGTCCTACAAAA